TGAACATATTTTGGGACGATGTCCCCCTCGAAAATGTAGTCAACGTATTTCAGATTTTTTTATAATCCGGTTTTGGCGACCTACAGAGCCTCTGTTTCGTTTTCAAAGTCCACCCTGTATAAACAGAAGCCGCAAAAGGTGCTTTGAAAATGACTTCGTATTAGTTCTTAGGGACTATCTGGATACTGATATTGATTGTTGGGGGTTCTTGGTATGTTGGGAAGGGCCATATTAAACTTCGTTCAAGAGAAAGTTCTATTTTTGAACAAGACAGGTAAATACTGATTTTGGTACTATTTTTGTTGACACCATATGATAAAGAATCGAATTCAAATTACTTGAGCATTGCCTATACCTAACTCAAACCTCCATCGACTTAGTCAGTGAAAATCAACAAATCCAAAGCTGATTTTATTCCATTTTTCGTACAGGTTCCACTCATTGTAACAATGACGCAATATATCTTCAAATATAGAGGGTATACAAAAATATACAGGGTGAGTCGGTATCTTGTAGCAGGAATTTAACAGCTTGAAGAAATTTTTTCAAGATGAGAATCTTCAATAACATACATGGTGTCCGGAAAGGTCATGTGGTAAATAATGGGGCTGATAAAGCGAGCTAAAATGATGTTAGGTTCATATAAAAAAATGTCTATCGCGCTTCGTAATGGAGTTATGGACCTTAGAAGTTATAATGAAAAAAATGAATTTAATGTATAACTTTCATACCTTGAACCTTAATCAGCCTATAATCCACAAAAACCAGAGTTTCTATAATATGAATAGAAAATTATTGTACAAAATATATGAAATAAAGAATTTACTCACGTGAGAATGGAAGAAACATCATGAACAAATAATTGAATAAAAGTTGTGCAAAGCACCGGTTCAAGGGCTAGGTTATTGCAAAGATTCCTGTGCCCTCGTGAAACCATATACATAATTAGCATATTTATTCAATAGCAAATCCCATACCTCATTGGAAAAAATAGAAAATGAGGGAGTCTAATGATAATTTCTCGAACAGCTAACCCACTATCAGATGATAGAGGACAAGTGGGGCTATTAACAATCCACAAAACAAGATTTCACTGATGATACATCAGACAGTGACACATGTCAACTGTCAAAGGAAGAGTGAGAACAATAGATCTTTATATATATCCAAGATCTTAACGGTAGATTAGTGGACAAACATATACACCACTCGACCTAAACAAAGAGAAGATAGATATATGATCATTTTGTATTCATATTATACGACCTCTGGTTCGTAATGCTTACAGGCTGATGATGGACACATGACTGTCCAAAACATGTGCCCTGGATGGGACTTATGTTTGTATGGAAACTCGAGAAAATCGCTAAAAATTCAGCTCAAGATCATTTGAATCTATTTTGCATCTTTCACAGGGCCAAGAAAACCAAAAAATATTGATTTGATTTGGTCTACAGGTACGTTGATTGGTGATTTTAAAAAATTCGCAAGATTTTTCTTCATATCACTCTAAATCCCAATATGTCAATGTGTAATGTGTTTGAAGAAATAGTTTCTTGCTATAAGCAATTCATTAATAAAAATCAAATAAGCAGAGAAACTGAAAGGACCTGATCTCTGGTCTGCATTCTACCGAAGCATCAATTTCATATGATCAAACTGCTCACCTTTAGTTTCTTCCAATCTTTGATGACATAAAAATTGATAACGATTTATGCAATTTTATCACAAACTTTTTTTCGTTCCTCGGACCTGAAACTGCCGATAGGGAAAACGAAAATTATTTTCAGCTGCTATAACCGACGTAGATTGCACTCAACATAAATTATAGCTCGTATACGTCAAAGGGTATAAGTGAAGCGAACTTGTGGAAAATGTGTCACTTCAAAAGCAAACTCGAATGGCAAAGACAAGTCCATTTACTAATAATTCAACTGCTCATTAGGTGCTCGAATGAAGAAGTTTGCTTCCATTTTATGATTCCATCGAGAAAAATGTTTATACATGTTTTTTTTTCGACACGACGTATTGAAACATGCTCGTGTTCCAAAATCAAGCTTATTCCACAACTTGTAATATAAATACCTATTCTTAATGGAAAGAAATATTTGATGACGAAAATTTGCAATAACCATCTCAGGAATTGATTACGAAAATTATCGATTCGAAATTTGAACACCCTGTTGTTCTTTATTTGAAAATCTGATAGTTACTCTAGTTGAAATAGCCCTATTTCTCACTTCTACCTACGGCTATGAACGGTTTGACAAATAATCTAACCCTCAAAATTGTTTCTGACAATCATTGATACTAGGGGAATTGAAAAGACAGAGCTCGATATATATGTCTTATTCCTTTATTCAATCATCAATGCATTTTTTGAAAACAGAAAAGGACAGAAGTATAGTTGTGTCCGGACTCTTGTCTAAAGTATATACAGGGACTCTAGGGGCAGACCATAGCACCGTTACCATGTGTTGAAATACGATAGGGACCTTCAAAAATATTAGTTATTCAATAATTGATGAATTGGTAATATTCCTATTGGACAATACCAAATCAATTGTATCAGAATGTTTCCTCATGATTTGTGGCTTATTGCTTATGATTGATTTGTATAAATAGTAATTATTTTGATTCACACTTGAGGACATTTGAAGCGGTAATCGTGACAACACAGCGCACGAATTGTGGGCATGGTCTTGTCAGTTCTCAGCATTCAGCACAATGTTGCCAAGTCCCCATTTACATGATGTTTTGTCATGGAGTATGAGAAATATTTGGACATGCTGGTTGCTCGAACTATATTATATCGTGGGTTCCTCCTATTATGTTTTATTCAACGACAAGACTGTTACATCTTTTGGATAACTTGATTATAATTGGTGACCTGACAACCTTGCTTCGTGAGTGGTAATGGAAGATTTTCTGACCAATTACGAAACAGCATAAAAACGGACGTCACCATTTATACGAATAATCGTCAAATGGTGGCTATGACGGTACTTTTGAAATGCGCTCTGAAATTCAACAATTCGGAACTATACACAGTGGAGTAATTGAATGCCAATAATTCATCATCAGTTCACTCAGGCCATAGCTTTTAGGGCTATCCGGCAAAATTTGGGGGTTTTTCGACTTTCACATTGACATCATGTTTTAGTAGCCCTAACTGGTGAGAGTGAAATTATTAGCCCTCATTGATTGCTGCAATTTATAGTTCTGACAAAAACGATATGCGGGCTATTTTACAGTGAATCAGATTGTCCAGCTTGCAATATCTTTTGGTAAAAAATCTGTTTTGTGTTCCTCATTACGTTATGAGTTGGGCAGAAGAAACTATGAAAATAGTAACATTCAATTTGCATCTGATGATACATAAAAATTGCATCAAATGCCAAAAATAGCAATACGAATAACCGCAATAAAAAAGGTCCGGACTCAAATATTTCCTGCAATGCAACAAAATATTGCGATAGCTGTTCAAAATGACACTATATAGTGTATAGGCGAACATTGAAAACTGTTTCAGTTTTTTGAAAAATTGTGAACCTTAGCGGCTCCTATGATTTGTTTGTATTAATATTCATGTTGATGTTATTTTAACAATTGTTTCGATGAAATTTTGAAAAATGTATCTGTCGTTATCCTCTGAGAGGGGGGAGATGTAATTATTCCCTCTTCACCTCCCCCCTTAAAACCGCCCAAGTAAATCATCCTTCAAGAAATACAGGTTGTCGAGAAAGAGTCAAATTTCGAATTAGTGTGTTCAGAAATGTGTTGCTCTATAATTCTTTCAGAAATTCTTCTAGAAATATCTCATGATTTTCAGGAATATATTTAACTGTCTCTCAAACGGTGCGTAAAAAACGAATTCCATCCGATTCAATAGTGGTTAAAGTTAACAAAAAGAGCCACAACGTGTTCTGGCTAACCGAAAAAAAAACATAAATTCAAGCATTTCAACAAAATTTTTGAGTCGAAGAGATCTTTTTTATACAATTGAACAAAATATAATTCTGACGATGTGATATTGTGAGATAATATATCTACTCAAAAACCTACAAGAAATATACCTGTACTCTTATTTTCTGAATAATATGGCACCTTCGGTGGCTGCATAAATTTTGCATGCACGCAAGATGCTGTTTCTGGGCTTATGATATTACATAAACTTATATAGGGGAAATGATTTCTTGAATGAATAAATACTCAAATAAAAAAAGCTTGCTCCTCCAAAAAATATAAATTATATTTCACTTGATACTAAACTGTATTGTTCCACTCAGTTGCATTTGACATTGAAATGTTTCAAATGATTACTGAAGGGGAAGTCACCCTCCTCCCTCGGGACTACCAATGTATCGGGTGGTCACAAAAAAACGGAAGTTTTCATTTTTTTCGTGGTTTCATCATTTCTCAACCGAATTCGAATTTCTTGGCGTCGTTTTATAGCTAAAGGGCAGTGGAATATTTGAAAATTCCATAATGAACAAAAACAAAATGGCGGATCCTACCAAAGTATTGTCATTTACAAAAACCTGGAGAAAAAGAAAATCAGATTTTTTCCAACCTGTACCGATGTCATCTTAGGCTATTCATTTCTGAAGAGAATGAGTACTCGAACATCGAAATCGAACAAATAGTACAGTAGATACACTCATTTCTATGCAATTTGTTATGGAGTGAATGTGAGAATCTCGTATAAACGATTATAATTATTTTGCTTCAGGCTTCATGAAAATTCAATAGAATATGAATTTCTTGAAGTTATTTCAAAGATAAAGAACTGCCATTTTGTTTTTGTTCATTATGGAATTTTCAAATATTCCACTGTATACTATAGCCCTCTAGCTATGAAACGACGCCAAGAAATTCGAATTCGGTTGAGAAATGATGAAACCACGAGGAAAATAAAAACTTAATTCCGTTTTTTTTGTGACCACCCGATATATTAATTTTAATGGATAAGATAGATAATGATGTTCTCATTAACTCACCTCGTCGATATTTCGTATACGTGATATTTGGCCACTGTAGTATATTTAAAAATTCTTCTTACATCGCTAATCAAAAGTAGGTATTTGAGATCGCTTGATATCTGGAAATCGGCCACTTCATATTGTAACTGAAAAACACCTAGAATTAGCACCTAGAATTAGCATGTCTATAAATCCTGGTGATATGACAAGGTATACAGTCGTCTTCAGAGAACTTGTCGCACATGGACGGTGTCAGCTCTCTTAATCACCGCTGCAGTAAGAAGCGCTCATACCGTCCAACCGCGACATGTTCACTGAAGACGAGTGTACACTCTATTGAGAATTCAATAGATATAATAATATGCAATTTGGGATGAGAAATCAGTGATCACATGCAGTTGATTTCCTTTAGTGCATGAAAGGGATGAGTTGAAGATTTTGGAAAGTGTTATTTTTCTATCTATATATTTGATATGCATTTGATAAATAAGGCATATTAAAATTTTGGAACATATATAAAATGTTAACTCAAGTAATTAAGAGATACCTATTCATTTATTTCAGTTCTTTCAGGATATTTCAGGAACATAACAAGTCACCTTGAATTGAATACTTCATCAATTATTTCATTTTATAAAATAAGAAGAAGAGGAGAAGATGAATTAATTGCGTTATCTACTTCATCCTACTTAATTGTTAATTTAACAACTAGGAACAAACTGCTTCAGTATTGGACATTTTCACTTTATGAGATCGCATTTCCTCGAAATCAATCATGCATGAAGCCCTATGTCATTCCAACATTTTATGGACAAAGAATATTGTTCATAAAATGTTTTATAGCCAATCAAGTGGAAATGAAAATAGAAAAATAAAACTGCAGATATATATGGTGATTTAGACTCTATAGTACTATGACGGACTTGAAGAAAAAGCTGAATTATGAAGTAAGTTCAAATGACCTGTCCTCTGTAAATCCTTCTCCATGAAAAAAAGTAAAAATAAATCATATAATCTGCTCTAGATTGCCACTTCCCTAAAATATTCACTATCAAAAACCTGACAGGAAAGCTGAATCGATAGTCAGTGATTCCGTGTTGAAAAAATTTTTCAAGAATAAAGTATACGAGGTTGTACTATATTTAGGCACTCCTCAAATAAACAAATGCGAATCGCAAAATGGAAAAGAGAGCCTACATCAGTTTTTTTCAATGGAACAACCTGTATATTTTCAATACTTTCTTCCGTTCACAAATATATATAGTTTGCTAATGTTTCCTCGAGTCGTTTTCGTTTTCGAATAAATTCTTGATGCACTACTAATATTGTTGCAATACAATACATACTATACATCTTACTATCTCATGTTCTTCTTTTACGGAATAACCTAGTCATTGGAGAACTGTCAAAGATGTCAAAAAATTTTTGTTTTGTTCCCATGACCTTTCTGCTGTGCATGATGTTCACAGCCATCTAACTGTCGTTGGCAAACTTTGAATCAATGTTGGATAAGTGAAAAACGGCCTAATAAAACATTAGCAAACTATACAGGGTATGTCACGACGAGCTTACACTATCTCTATATCATATTCAGCAATGCAGTGTTGCCGCTTCTATCAAAAAGTAGCAACAACTTTGTTGTTTCAAATAGAACACCCTGCATTTTATTGCATTTTCTGATTCTTCCTAAAGAGCTGATCTCATCAATTCATCAAACTTGGGGTCTATCAGATATAATTACAAAGATATAGGGTGTTCAAAATCGAGATTCTTCAACATTAGGATTTGTTTGTGTCAAATTTATTATCGGCCAAAACGGCTCACACGTCCCTATCCCAACTTTTGATTTACTATTTACTTATATTTAATCGGAACAGATACAGGTTGATCAGAATTCTAAATCTTGAACCACTCTGTATCTGTTTCTATTAAATATCAGTAAATAGTGAATCGAAAGGTGGGATAGGAACATGTGAGACGTTTCGACATAAAAAAATCCTAAAGTTGAAAAATCTCGATTTTGAACACCTGATATCTCTGTAATCTTTTGCGATAGACCCCAAGTGTAATGCATAGATTAAATCAACTTTTCAGGAAGAATCTAAAAATGCGATAAAATACAGGGTTTTCTATTCAAAATATCATAGTTGCTACTACTTTCTGGTAGAAGTGGCAACACTGCATTGCTGAAAATATCTTGAATGAAGAGAATGTATTCTTAAATATTAGCATGCATATTTTCATGTATTTTTTTCGACTGATTCTTGATATAGTATAGTATATATCTGTGATCAGTAGAAAATTATCTTTCACTAAAACTGGAGATATAAAAATTTTTTTTCTGATAGAGATTTTTTTTTCTGAATACAATGATGTACCACACATGAGGTCTAGCGGAAAAGATCACAGAGATATAGGGTGTTCAAAATCGAGATTTTTCAACTGTAGAATTTTTTTGTGTCGAAACTATTCATTTTTGGTCGAAAAGGCTCGCATGTGCTAATCTCAACTTTTGATTCACTATCTACTGACATTTAGTTGGAACAAATACAGGGTGGTTCAAGAATCAGAGATTTCTGATCACCCTGTATCTGTTCCAATTAATGTCAGTAGATAGTAAATCAAAAGTTGAGATAGAGACATATGAGCCGTTTTGACCAATAATGAATAGTTTCGACACAAAAGATCCCATAAAGTTGAAAAATCTCGATTTTGAACACCCTATATATCTCTGTAATCTTTACTGCTAGACCTCAAGTGTGATACATCGTTGTATTCAGAAAAAAAATCTCTATCAGAAAAAAAATTAAAAAATATACAATGGCATTTGAAAAAAAAAGTTGACAATCGGTGGTTATAGTTGAAATTGGAAAAAAAATTGTTAGTGCCACCTTGTAGTATCTCATGAGTCATTTCATTTGCTTTCTTGCTTTTCGGCGGCGCTACGGATCGGGGCGTTTTTTGTCAGTCAGCCCATAGATTAACGACATATCATTCGTGAAATAGGTAGGTACTTACAAATGTAATGTTAGTCATAAGAATAACTGTAGTCAGATTATCTGCATCAAACAATGTGACTCCACCATGTTCATCTTTATAAATGAATTCAGTGTCTGAAAAATAAAAAGAATAATCAACTACAAAATAGTCAAGATGCCTACAGTGGAATGGAATGTTCATAATGAGGTAGAAGCCCAAATGAAGTTTCACAAGTTAGTCGAGTCTAATTAGTGCTCTAGCCTCTAAAAATTGCTAGAGAGCTGGAAATCATTTTAATCGCTCTTAGGGGTCTTGAAAAACGGTTTTATGAGTTTTCACAGGAAATACTATTCATTCTCATTTTGCAAAACATCAAATTCAGCGTTCAATACATTGATATCGATCAAGTCTGCAGCCGCTATCGCTCGTCAAAGATAGGCAATTTTTACCAATTTTGCTAAAAAGTTGACAACCCTCAACATCTAACGCCTGTAGATCAGAAATGACTGCTTCAATTACAAGATCTCTAGGTGCCGAAATTGTAGTAAAATTAATTTTAAATCAGATGCTTCCTAAAATTTGGAATTTGCTCACTCCAGTGCTGAGATATAAATTTTAAACCTAAAAATGTCCGCTAAGGCAGCACTACGCGGGAAACTTCGTGTGAACTCAAAACTTTTCACTTCCTTGTATTTTTCAAGTGAATATAATCAACTCGAAACTCGAAATCCATTCGTGAAGATCTGATTACAAAGGTAACTATAGTACCCGATCAATCATCAGTCATCAGGTACCAGATTATCACAGAACAACAGTATATACAGGGGAGAGAGAATGAGAACGAAGTTTGGCAGGCTTATTAAAGACACTTGATTTAGGAATAATTTGGATCACTACGATCACTAAGATCCAATTGATTGATAGTATTTTCTAACTGTTGAACTTTCCACATGTCAGCTCACCGATTAATATCGTTTGGATGACATAATATAATCTCACGAATTGGTAAAGTTGAATTTTTGGCAGATTTATTATTGACACTTGATTTGGGAAACATTTGGTTCACTATGATCACTAATATTCAATTGATTGATAGTATTTTCTGACTGAACTTTTCACATGTCACCTCATCAATATATCCATGTCACAGAATACTGTTGAGTATTCTGTGTCCATGTTGTGTGAGATCAATGATCTATGCCATAAAAAGACCCTGCCTTGCAACTACAGACCGATCGCACTGCTATCTATCATTTCAAAGATCATGGAGAAAGCTATCAACATCGAGCTCATGAAATACCTGGAACATTCAGGTATTATCAACGATAGGCAATATGGCTTCCGTCGTCAGAGATCAAATGGTGACCACTCGCTTACGTCTCAGATATATGGCAGCAATCTATTGAAAAATATGGCGAAACCTCAGCCGTGGCACTTGATATCTCCAAGGCACTCGATCGAGTCTGGCACCACGGACTCCTTGCCAAGCTTTCATCTTATGGCTTGCCTCCCCAGCTATGTTCTCTGCTAGCTATAGTTTTCTTTCAAACAGGTCTCTCTAGGTAGTGGTCGACGGAGTTTCATCTTACTCTCTTATCATAAATGATGGTGTTCCGCAACGATCAATTCAAGCACCAACACTATGTCTACTCCATATCATCGATTTGTGGGAAACAATTTCATGTCCAGTACACAGCTTCGTGGATAATAGTACCGCATTCTCTTCCATGGCTCCAATACCAGCCAGGCAGATCAGAAACGAACGAGGGAGAAATGTTGACAACATAATTATGGACTTGGCAACAATTCTCGAATGGGGATCCAATACCTTGATAGATTTCAATGCGAACAAAACACAAGCAAGCCATTTCTCTAGAAAAGCCGATCCTTCTGTGCCCAACATAGGCTTGTCAGGAGTAACCACACCTTTGAAGTCATCCATCTCGATGCTTGGTATTTCTATCAGCAATAACCTTTCTTAGGAAAATCACGTGAGATCAAATGCTAAAAGAGCATCCCAAAAACTTGGTTTTCTGCTTCTGGCAAGGAGCTATTATACTTCCAGTCAGCTGCTCATGATCTATAAGGCACAGATTCGACCTGTCCTGGGATACTGATACCCTGAAACTGTTGGATTCTGTCCAAAGAAGGGCAATTCGTCTCATGGGTGATGCCTCGCTCACAAACTTACTCACTTTTCTGAAACAACGTATTAAAGATGGCGAACTGGCTCTATTTCATAGATATTTTCATGGACGATGCTCTTCTGAAATATCAACAATTGTTCCTCCCTTGGCAGTCCCCGCGATTTTAACCCGTCGAGTTGGGGCTTCGCACCCCTTCGTGGTCACTTTGGATACCTGCAAAACATCTCTTTCCAAAGACTCGTTCATCCAACGAACAGCGAGAATCTGGAACACATTGCCAAGGGAGATGTTCCCCGAGGCATTTAACCTCCAGAAATTAAAGAAGAACACCAATTGCTACCTTATTTTCCACAGAATCAATTTGCTAAATGAAACTGATGAGGAAAACAAAACACGATATGTCATATTTATACAAATAAATTCAATATCCAGAAGAATTTTGCACTGTTCTGCTGGAACAGAAGAGGGTATTCGTTGTGAAACATTTCAATGTATTCGCTGCATTAACCTGAAGCGAATCCAAATTTCAGCAATCCCGCGAACTTTAATAATCGTTTCCTGAAAAATCCGCTTTCTGAACATATCGGGATTTGCCTTAGTACCACAGCTACTCCAGTGATAAGCTGAGGCATACGTTGTCATGGATATAAACATCAGATTAGATAGTTAATCGTCTGCCAAATTCTCAAAGCAACCGGACCAAAGCGATCCCATATAATCCCAAAAGTGCACTTAATAGACTGCTTTTCCATTAACCGCTTATTTTCAAAGGTGGATTCGTAGGGCTTGAATTGATATTCTCGAGGTGATTTCTAGCATGATGGCTACTCACCCGATATCCACGTCCCATTAAATTTGGCAGAGGGTGGAAGCTTGATAAAAATATCCTCTAGGGTTGGCCTTATACCTTTTATTCTAGGACCTTCTTCTGGAGGCGACACCAATACTATACTGAAGACAATAAGGCCTAAAACGGCTATTATAACTAAAAGGGCTATTAGGATGCCTCTCCAATTCCTCTCGCTCGGAGAACTCACGACCAACTCCTGAAACAAAAGAATAATGATTTCAAAATTTGATAATTGATAGTTTTTTGTTTGATGGGAACGAATTGCAGCCGCCATGAAACCAGCCAAAACAATCTTACTTCATACTGTCGAATTAAACACGGATAATAATTGTTCTCAAATTGACAGTCAATTAGTTAACTGTACGAGAATTACATCGCATGAAACATCATGATCAAGACGGGAGCTAGAGATATCTAGCAAATTGTTCGAAATGTATATAATTGATTCGAAATTTTGTATATGTTCACGACCCTTATTCTGGATACTAAAAATGTAGTCCAACTAGGAACTTTCAACTCGACTTTCAACGAGTGTATCATTCTATCCCTCACTTCCACCCTATACACGCACGCAATTTAGTTTGGGAAGTGTCATTTTCCCGCAACAATGCGGAAAAATTTTTCCCACACTAGTGCGGGAATATTTTCACCACACTAGAGCGGTAAAAACAATGATATGAAATATGAAAGTTCATGCTTGTTTGTTTCAGTATTAAGTATGTTTGTTCAGAATCATCCATCAAATTGCACTATTCATTGTGAAAATGAAGAAATATTGGGAAATGAAAATGTATCGTTATAAAAATTCCCCTGACTTGGATTGATACGATGTGGGAAACGATTATTAGTGTCATGCCAATCAAACCACAAATTAGTTTCTAATTGTCGTCTGACAGATACAGCGTTACTGTATGTTACTGTCATTTTCGATTCAGTGGAATTGACACAATGGATCATACATGTGATCAAAAACTTCCAGCCAAAGATGCGATACAGATGCGTTATTGCCAACGAAGTCTTGAGGAAGGTATGAGAAGCAATACACGCTTTATATTCAGTGGTGCAACAATTAGGAAGTGAAAACATCGAATAAAGAAGAAGTATTTTTGACTCATTTCCTAGAAATGTCTGGGGCATGCTGGCTTCCATAATGAACCTACATAATGCGTCAAACTGTACATTTACAATAGCTATTAGTAGATAGAGATTGTTAGTTGTTCCTATTCGAATGAACAAATCAATCAATTTCCTACGTTTGTAGAAAAAACACTGTTCTTAACTCATGCGGAAAGTGTCTTTCCCACACTCGACTGCTTGTCCGAACAGTCTCGTGCGGGAAAGTATCACTTTCCGCATAAGTTGAGAACAGTATTTTTTCTACAAGCGTAGGAAATTGATTGATTAGCAAGGAGAATTACTATATTCATTTCTTTCATCAGACGAACTCATAGATCGATCTTTCATGCGGGCTGATGAAATAGATTATTTTCGAAACTGTGCTTTAGAGCTGTCAAAATATCGAGGAATAGTTTTATTCTTATCAAAGGGCATCAATATTGTGATTCTCACTGTAATAATTATCACAATGCGTCGTGGAGTTAGCTATTCGTCGAAAACGCACTATACAGGGTATCCCGAACAAAAATTGGTCGAGAAATGGCCCCCTGGGAGTTTATATCCGTCTGTGATGAAATAACAAAATTCTATACACATACCTTACATTCCATGTTCAATTTGGTAATATCGACAATTTTTTAGATATATTTTGATCAGGAGTGTGGGAAATAGGTGGGGCTAGGGGCACTATTTCTCTAAACTTTTTTGTTCTTCCAACTTTTGGCAGTTCGACCAGGAAATATGGAGCTCTCAACACTTTGATTTAGAAATAGTACTCTTGATTAGTTTCGATACGATTCACGGTTTTCGAGATAAATCGGTTTCAAAATAGTGCTTTTTCTCAATTTTCTCAAGAATTACGGTTTGATGGAAAATACCTTCTTCTTTCAACATCTACTTTTGATGTATGACTATTGAAATCGATTTTTCTAGAAGATTATGAGTGCCATCGAAACTAAATGAGGGTACCATTTTCAAGAAAAAATGATGATATTTTCATATTTCCTGTTCAAATTGCCAATAATTGCATAAACAAAGGAGTTGGGAGAAAATGTGCCTCTAACCCTAGCCTATTCTACACGCCCCTGATGAGAATTTCGAGACATTTTCAACAGTTTCAAATTGGGTATAAAAAGTTAGGTACATGTACCAAATTTTGTTATGTCGTCACAGAGGATTTCGAAAATATTCACAAAAAAACATAATCTCGAGCACTCCTTAAGATGGGATAACCCCCCAGGGGACCATTTTTGGACCAATCATGTTTATATGCATTTTCAAAAATATTTTTGTTCCTAGCATCTTTGGTTGAAATCTTTCATTGTAATTTCGGGAGACCCTGTAGGATCGCTATTTGTCCAAAACTCGCTGTGCATGATGAGTATATATACAGTATGTATTTATGTTTCATACCCACAACAATCAAACAAAGATGAACCAACATGTTATACGACAAGAATGTTTTTTTAGAGGGGAGGGGGGAGTAAGGGGAAGTATAAGTGGATTTCGACAACTCATTTTGTAATTTCAAAATTTTAAAATTCTCGTTCTGGACAAAAAATTAATAATATAAATTGATCACCCTAGATGGATTATTGAGATTCGTTTTCCTGAAAATTATTCAATTTGGCACTGAAAAAGAAAACAGTAGAACAAACATAAATTACCAAAATATTCAATGGGTATAAAAGACATTCCATTCGCTATGAGCTACTAGTCGGAAATTCAGAAAACGCCGTTGGAAATCCTGGGGTTTGTATACAGAGTATTTCATTTTCAGATTGAAAACCTTTTACTGAGAATTTCATTTCTCGAATTTTCAACTCACGAAGTTTTATTTATTCGACTTAGAGCTTTAGATCCTCGACTTATCAGTAGAGTTCCTTTATGTATTTGACACTACTGTTTTGTAGTGAAGTTCGAGTTCGCAGTTGGAAGTTCGGAAGTTCCTATAGTTTGAACCAGAAATGTGATTTTCCTTCATGTTTAAACTTGGATATTCCGAATACAAAATTGAATAATCTTTATGTTTTTGGAGTTGGATATTCCTAGATTGAAGTTGAAAATTCGCACATGAAATAAAAAATATTAAACTGGGATAAGAGAATTTCATTTTCTATGAGCTATAAATACGAGTCGGAAATTGAGTGTACGCAGCTGGAAATCCTGGGGTGGAAACCACCAACACCCTCCGTCCATAAGTGGCGTGAGTGATTCAAAGTTAAACCATAGATCAACTTACAACAATGTCCAATTCTTTGATGGTCAAGGTTTCTTTCCTGGAATATTTTGATGATCGCTACCAGGCAAAACCATAAGAAAAACCTTAGCTGGTCAGGGGCGTCTGCAGAAATAATCTCAGGGGAGACGCAAGTCACAATAATAATATACAATATTTAATTTACGTACGCATATGAATAAAAACAGTTTTTGCACGACCTATACATAATATGCGATTTTACACCTTCAAATGCGGAAGTTCAGGGTATAGAGTGTATACTCCCTAGGCACAGAATACCTAACAATAGTATTCTGTGCCCTAGACTAAAAAATGTTCCTGGAAATTTCTGGCAATAAATCTATAGCTATGTTTGCAGCAGATTTTTCAATAGTTTTATCACACATTTTTGCATCATTCATTAAAAAAAAACTCAGGAAGACAGTTGAGAAAATGCGAGCACACTTTCTCGTTGTTAACAAAAAGCAATATAACCACTCTAATTTATATTGGTCGTCATCATAGATGGAACTCTATTTTCTGTCCAGATTTTTATTTTTATAAATTAGGAATGTCGTATTGACAATAATTGATTCAATTATAAGATTCTTTCAATTTAATTCGTTGGTTCGTGCAAAAAATAGTACTCATATTATACACCTCGAAAATGAGCTCTTTTTTCCCCAGTACATTGTTGCGCCCTCTGGCTACAAAATCACCTCGGGAAAAAATCATGCACTTTACTCCCTCGATGTATAATCTAATATTATCCTATATAACACATGGTAATAAAAAAACAAAAGTAATTGAATTGACATTACATTCTTTGTACAGGCATAATAAAAATAAAAATTGCACTCGATAATCATGATCTTGTTTGAGCAAAAATAGCAATCTTCTAGAGTATTGAGCAGATTTATCAATCACTTCGTTGATAAAGTGAACTCTGTAATAAGCTCGGTGATAAGTGAATCAGAATAGGAATTGAATAATGTAAATGTATCTTGTTGAGAAAGTATTTCAGTAAGGACCATGCGTTAGGGGATGGCAAGCGTCTCCCCTTGCCCCCCATTGCGTACGCCCCTGTTGCTGGTAAAAACTTCAAGAGAACTATATTTCGTCAACTGTCCAAGAAGTGCCCACAAATTAATTGATTTTCGAAAGTTTGCATGATTTTTGGTCGAAGTTATCCGCAATAATACTGGGCTTTTAGATTCAACTAAACTAAGAATTAAACTAACAACTATAAGCTCAAAAAGTTGAATATGTACAAGGAAACATCCGTTAGGGTATATACATTCACATCTGTCATTTAAATTAAGAATTTCGAAGTTGGCCAACTTTCAACTTAACAACTAAGAATTAAGAAATTCTGGAGACAGATCATGAAGATATGATTTGTTATTGTTCAAGTGGAGTGTGGTGAATTGTGAAAACTAAAATCACTTTTTAACATCATTCTGATATTTAATCAAGAGACATTTCACTTTTAATTCTTGATGAATATCAGATACGTATAAACACCATCTTGATAATCAATTGTTGATTATTATTAGTTAATTCTTATTGTTAGTTCGATGGAATCTATAAACCCTGCATAAACTATAGAAAGCAGCAGCGATAGTGAGTTTGAAAATGTGCCTTACGAAATTTCCAATGGGTATTCTGTTCGAATTTCAGTATTTGATCCCAATACAAATTGAAATATTCAAAATTTTATTCCACAAAGAAATATATGTCCCATTGATTTGTTATTTTAAATGGTTGCCGAAAAAAATAGTGTACGTATCACGTCCGAAAACAGTTTTTTTGTACTCGCAGACTCCCAGAACTCGCCTACGGCTCGGCCTAGAATTATGTCTACTCGCAAAAAAAACGTATTATCCGGATTTGTTACGTAAATTCCTTTTCTGAGCCTCATATTCACTCTACTAATTCTGAAATATACTGTCCAATTAGAAGAGGGCGTTGCCAACTTCTAATTAGGATGTGGGAAAAGAGACGTTACGTTATAATAAGCACATGGACAGAAAGGATAATGGTGCATCATGATGTCAACTCAGAGTTTTCATCAGTGACCTCTTCAAACTCTGGTCTATGGGTTGGTAAATGTAATAATATTTTCTATAGTTACCATGCATAACAAAAGGTTAGTCTATTTATCATCATTATTACTTTTAGTATATTACTATCATTCATGTTTATATTTCCTTGTCATCATTCATAAATCTTCCCAAGCGTTCACTTTGTTCTCTTTCATATTCAAACGCAAACAACACTCACCTCAACAATATGCGGTGCAAGTTTGACCCTGCTAGCTGCTAGTTTGGGTTTACCAGTCAAATTCGCCTTCAGAATAGACTTTTCCTCAGCCTTTACCTTAGCTTCCTGTTCACTAGGAATCCTCCTCAAGAATTTCAACTCGATCTTATTATTCATATCGGGTAACTGTATTGTCTACTAAATATTCCAGAGACGAGTACAAAAATATATATTGATCGGCCAGCTATCTTTTATGTTATTCAGTTATAGGTATTGCTTAGTTTCGTTCTATAATTGGTTACTTAGGAGTACATTGATATAAAATATACATATAGATTTCTTCTAATACACTAACATTCAATATAAATACGAACACACGGCTGAAATCGCTGTGTAGATAGGAAATTTCCTCGGGAAACCTTTGTTATTTTCAGGGTTGTTTTGCATGGGTATATTTTGACATCGATCTAGACAGTTAAAGCATATGAACTATGCAACTCTACACATTTATACGTATTTAGCGGCTAGTAACACTGAATATTTGAGCTTTGCCATGAATATTTGGCAATGTTTTTATAGGGAACACGCGATGTAAGCTTTACAACCGAAACTCCCGAACTGGAGCTTTCCGAGAAAAGCCAATAGAAGGCTGATTCACGCAGCTGAAATCGGGAGTTTGAGCGGTAAAATCGGTCCAGGAAAGCGGTGAGCTTGAGCTGTGTGACCCGGGAATGCATAATTCCTGTCAATTACATAGGTACTATTTATTTATTACCCTGAGCTAGATGAATTCGCTGAGATTTTAATTAGGACGTATACAGAGTTCCGAAAGAGAGATATGAGAGTTACACAAGGGCGGTTCCATCCCTCACGCGAGGGGAGGGGGTCACGAGCTTCAGAATGGAAATATTCATGAAGGGTGTTTCAAAAAAATTGGCTCCGTTACTTGGGTATCAAAGTACAAGGTATGAAAAATATATACAGGGTGTTTCATAATTGAATGCTGATTCTAAAGGGCGATGATCCTTGGATGATTTTAAGGAGAGAAGTCCATATCAACATATGTCCTGAAACTCTTAGTTTTTGAGCTACAGGGTGTTGAAATCAGAAGCGTGCAACGTTTTTTTAAACTAAACATTCAATATCAGGTCTACGAGGACATCACTGGTAATAGTGAAAGTTCGATTTTCGCCCCAAAACTAAATGTGTTTCCACTTATAGTGGGTGTCTACTGAATTACCAAAAACAATATCCAAGAACTGAAGGAACAAAATTCTTTGGTTTTTATTTTTTTACGTGAAAACGGTAAGTTGTATGAAAGTAAGTTTAGGAACCAAATTTGCTCCAAAATGAATAAGAATTGAAAAAAAAATCAAGTTGTCAGAAAAATCAGTGGCGTACTATTTTTTTCTTCAAAAATTGTCAGTTCAAACCCCAGACGGACGCCACTAGTGAGAATTTTTAAATATCTTTCACGTTAAAAAAATGCTCCTTAATAATGAGAAGGTGTATACGAAATATCATAACAATATCTAAGAGTGATAAAAAATTATGATGACTCATTTTTTTCTTGAAATTTCATCACCCTGTAGCTCAATAAATAAGAGGTTTAGGACATATGATGATATGAACTTTTTTCTTTGAAATCATCCAAGGATTATCGCCCTTAAGGATCAGCATTCAATTATGAAACACCCTGTATATACACTTTTTCAAGATTATGTCTGAACTACTGGCAAATTTTGTAATAAAATAATATTCATATGAACTTGAACATCATTCAATTTTACATACCAAAGAGTTAGGTTCTCTTGGAAAAACTCGATACTGATGAGTACCTACGCATATTTTGATTCTAAAATGATGAATGAATAACAGAACCAAAAACAACAACATTATTTAATTGCTAAAATTTATTTCTCAGATGGTTGAGGATCAGCTATGATAATATATGATTTATGCGTCCAAACTGTGTAATCTATGTTTTCAGTAAAATTTATTTCAATTTTATCTTCTTCGTGATTCTTTATTTAATCAATAGCTCTAGCAGCATTAGGATGATATTATTATTCTTGAATTTCAATAAATAGATATTAGATAATTTCATATGAAATAGTATATTAGAATACGTACTTCATACATATATAGCTTCATACCAGCAAGATTAGTTATTACTTCATCATTTTCAAATAAAAATATTCCGAAAACGGCACACAACAAACGTTTAGAAAAAACACCATCATTTTTTAATAAATTTATTGAAATATGTCAGGGCATGGTATGTAAGAAGAATCTTATGAGTTGTGATAATTTCAATGTGATGATCGCAGACACCACTTCAAACTTCTTATTTTGAACTTGATGCAGATAGGTGAGTTTTTCTATATCTTATTTTATAAATGATTTTACGGAAGCATTGCTTCCTGTTCAGTTGATATAGATAGAACATGGTATTCACTACTGAAAACTGAACATGAAAATGGTAGATTCAAGATCAATTAATGAAAACATCCTGTAACTCATTTGTAGACTAAAATCACTCATTCATATGCCAACATCAGTATGACACTGAAAAGTGTCAAACTATAAGCAGCACAACTTTCAAAGAATAGTTATTTGTTTAACTAGGCAGCAAAGTAGTAGATTGACTGCCGTGGCTGAATTCATAGCCGAGCGTATGATTTTTTCTCCGATTGTTCATAATGATATGGGAGAATATTGTGTTTGCGAATTAATACAATTCCCACAATCTCTTAATTCTTCCTGTATAGTGTGCAATTAAAATAAAATTTGATAGAAATCGCAGTTGTTGGTTTGACAATTCATGAAATTTCTGACAGTTGTGCGAAACAATATCGGTATATTTAAATTATTATATAATGGACAGTGATAGCGACCTGGAAGTATACTTACACCTCCATTAATAAGGGAGGTGGCAATAAATATAGAGTTGAATTTGTTGCCGGAGAAGTCTCGGATGAAATATGAAGGAAATTATAAACGATTTATGAATTTTTAATTTTGCTGATACATATCAATCAGCAAAGTAACTACTTTGCTGCCTAGGCAGCAAAGTACCCACTTTGCTGCCTAGGCAGGAAAAGTAATACTTTGCTGATTGATATGTGTCAGCAAAATCAATATTTGCTGCCAATCGGAGGAAAACCTATTTTGCATTTACATGTTGAGAACGGGAGCAGAATCGGTCCCAAAACGTCCAAAGATAAGTAAAAGTTCGATATTTTTTCAATATATCTATATTTCATTCCTTCAAACATTTTTTCAAACAAATTGTCACTGACAATCTACTGTATTTTTCTTTCAGACTCCCTGATAGAAAAATTTGTTAATCGCAGTGACATTTTGGGGCAAATCATCTGATTTGTCCCTCTACAAATATATTGAAATAATACGAATACTTTTATTTCATAGAAACGAGGAGAGAAAATCCCAAAGAATCAAGTAAAATTAATAAAAATTCAAGTTCCACCAGATGCCTCATTGATATTTTGCGTAACTGAGGTCAGTATTTTTTATTTTATTTAGCGTAATCTCATTACAATTTCGGTGTGGAATTTTCTTACGGATTACCACTGTAGCTTCAATTAAATACCGGAAATGTTTCAAAATATTCATGTTCCGGTTATAATTGAAGCTGTCGTGGTATTATATAATTGTAAAAAATAATCATCTTCATTTGTCACTATCTCTATCGATGTTGAATCATATGGCTCAAAATCAAGTTATCAATTACTGTGTCAGCACAAGCAATTTCTCCAACTCTATAACATAATTTTGCTCTATATATATCCTCGAATATCTCATTTGTTGTTGATTATCCCTATTCACGAAAATCTAGAGAACGGACATAATAGAGAACATTTCGGATTCAAGAAAATCACTGCGGCAACATTACAGAATCTCTTTTAACAAAAATCGTACAAATGGTATCAGATCTTATTATATAGGTCATCGATCAAGAAGAGTAATTGCACCCAATCACGATTCACGATTTTATATCTTAGCTAAAGGAAATTGAGTACTTGACATAGTTTTGTCAGCATATAATACAGTGATGAAAATCTTCAGGATAAGGAATCAATAAGTCGGCTCTTATACGATACGTTTCTCATCTGAAACCTGGAAGGAATATTTTGTGAGTGAGAAAATATTCCTTCCTGAGCTCTCTTGAGTTCATCTATACTGGGTGTCCCAGGTTATCGTATACAGGCAATATATCTAGCTTATTTGAAGAGATAATTGAAAAATTGAAAAAACTGCATTGCATGGCATTGAAGTACCTTCCTAATGACATATAAAAACAAAGATTACATTTGACCGTTCTCTGGCAGCTATTCCCCACTTTTTATTTTGAAATGGCACCCTTTGTATATAGTCATTGAAAATTGCGTGTCATCCTATAAGGAATAATACGAAAGTATATTATACTTAATATTTCCTTATTATTATAACAACAAAAACAGTAACATCAAATGTATGAATCTCATCGACTTTTTGAAACAAAAAACATGAGCCAGAGAAAATTTTTCATTTTCATAAGGATTATTAAAATATTTTTGATGTATGATGAATTGATATTCATCATACAGGACGTGGAAAGAAATTCTGAAATGAGAAAACCTAATCACGAATCTGCGATTGGGGTCTATAAAAATAACAATTCCATCGTTCAAGTTTGAAAGTGTTGAAAAGGAATATTGTCAGATATATTCATGAACACAAAAAAAGAATATAATATAAATGAAGAAATACATTGGGAATTCGCATTCTCCATGTGATGAAAATATTAATTCTTTCTCGGTTCATTCAACAGAAAACAACTACTTTCCTGGCTATATATGCCACGACGAATATTGAATTACATCTATGGAACACACACGATAAGAATTTGAAAACAAAATCTCTTGAAGTAGAGAATTTGCATTCTCCTTCATATAAAGGTATGCACATAATATCATTCTGAATATTCAACAGAAAACAACTACTTTCCTGGCTATTTGCCACGTCGAACATTGAATTATATCTGTTGAATATCTAAGAAGAGAGCATAATAATACATCATATTATTCTATTCGATTTGAGAGATAATGTCAATTCTCAATTTCAGAGGATTTTGATTTTTGTTTTTATCAATAAAAAAACAAGTATACGCTATCGTAGTATTCCAAATTGAATGACACGTAATTTCCAATGACAATATACAGGGGGTGCCATTGGAAAATATGGGGGTAACTCCCAGAGAACTGTCAAATATAAAAAAAAATATATGTCATTAGGAAAGTACTTCAATGAAATTCTATGCAGTTTTGAATTTTTCAATTATCTTGTCAAATAAGCGAGATATTGCCTGTATACCGGGTGGCTACGGAAGTATTGCTTACGGAATATCTCAGTTATTGTATGAAGTAGGTTTGTGAAATTTGGAGCGTCCATATAATGACATAAGAGCTAAAATTTGAGCATATTGACATGTCGGAGTTAACTTCCGGTCTGACCGGAAGTAACATCAACTTTCTTATTTTGAATGGAAACCCTATTTTTTTTTCTTTTCACTTTATTCAGCATTCAATTCCCT